AAATTCAAAACAAACAAACAAACAATTCATCAAAATACAGTCATGTGGAAATTTTGTGTTTGAGTTTTTTGATTCAGTTAAAACTACTTTTTTATATTCTCTGCCACGTCGCAAAAGAAGTGAGTAGTTAAGCGTAGTTTAATTAATATACTTTGTAACAGAAGACTAGGGATGAATACATTGTGTAATCTAATATAAAGTTTTTTATTAGATTGTTCACATATTTAAAATATTAATATTTGGATCATCCACAATGCACAGTTTTAGGGTTATTGCTATTTCCCAAAACGTGCTGGTTTCAATAAATTTTGGCCTGTGGCGTGGCCTAGTGGTAAGCGTGCTGCACTCTGACCTAGGATCCGTGGTTCGCGTCCCGTTGCTGTAAAAAAAATCTCATTCTGCAGTTTGGAGTCGCCCAAGTATTGGCGGTGGGTGCTGATGGTTAACTGCCTTCCCTCAGAAGGGATGGTTAGTGCAGATATCTCTCGAGTAACCTTTCTTGAAATTCAACAAGTTCTGTGAACGTCGCCCCCTTTGTCGAATGAAATAACTCTTTTGAAAAGCTAAATAATGAGAAACAGTTAACACATCCACGTCACACATTTCTTTTTTATTCTATCTGTTCTTCAGCTAACAAATAAGTTTGTTTTATTTCTGTGACGTCACTGAGTAGGAAGAAAAGTTAACACAGCCAGGTCTTTTGTGTTCAAATGTCACATATTTAGCGTCACTGTAGAACCAGTATTGTATAACTGACGCAATTTGCACGAGGTATTCTAAAGGAAAACTGCAAATAACATGCGCGTGTTTTACTCGACTATTATACTAGGCAAGATTTTCTAAAAATATAAGAGAAATAGAAACAAAACTTTGAGAAAATAAAACAAAAGTCAAAGTTTGTTTGTTTTTTTAATTATGCACAAAGCTACACACGGGCTATCTGTGCTCTGCCCACCACGGGTATCGAAACACGGTTTCTAGCGTTGTAAGTCCGCAGACATTCCGCTGTGTCACTGGGGGGGGGGGGGGTTTGGAATGAGATATACACGTTGAAGTTTAACCAACTTATTTACGGATTATTTTCTTGTTGTTGTTGTTTTTGATTAACCGAGCTAAAAATTTTAGTAATATATTTAGTACTTCAGATCTTACTTATTAAAACTACACGGTAAAAGAGTAGCCCAAGAGTTGGCGGTGGGTGGTGATGACTAGCTGCCTTTCCTCTAGTTTTTCACTGCTAAATTAGAGATGACTCGCGCAGATAGCCCTCGTGTAGCTTTGCGCGAAATTCAAAACAAAATAAATATAATGTGCTTTACCAGATCCTTAATGCGCGTGCGCATGTAATTTATTAATACCGCCACTTGTTTATTTAGTACTTATTCGTATGGTATACCAAGACAGCGTGCATACAAAACTGCATACAGAAACGACTCCAAATTTCTTAAAATGCTCTGTATGAAATATTTTCGTGAGCTTCGTTTTTATTTCTGTAACTAATCCAAGCCCGTGCTTACTACACGCCACCCTGTAACTAATCCAAGTCCGTGTTTACTACACGCCACCCTGTAACTAATCCAAGTCCGTGCTTACTACACGCCACCCTGTAACTAATTCAAGTCCGTGTTTACTACACGCCACCCTGTAACTAATCCAAGCCCATGTTACTACACGCCACCCTGTAACTAAT